TTTGGGCCCCCTTCCCGGCCTTTGGCCCCCTTCCCGCCTTTCCCCCGGTTTTTTTCCGTTTTTTCAACCCCCCCTTTTTTTCCTTTGGGTTTGGTTTTTTTTTTGGGCCCGGGGGGCCCGGTTTTCCCTTTTCCCCTTTCCCATGGGGGAAACTTCTCTGTTTTCCCCCCCCCCTTCCCCCCCTTTTGGGGAAAAATGTGCCCCCCGGGGAACCCCTTGGTCTTAAAAATTCTTCTTTCAACGACGGGCGTTTTTTTTCCCCAAAAAGGTTGGGGGGGGGGTTCCTCGTCCCGGTTTTCAAAAAAAGTTGCCTAGCTTTCGGTTTTCGGGGGTTTAAATTTTTTAGGGTTTTAAAGTTTTTTTGTTGTTTTTGTTTTTTTTTTTTGGGTTTTTTTTTGGGTTGGGTTTTTTTTTAGTTTTTTTTGGTATTTTTTTGTTGGTTTTTTTGGGTTTTGGTTTTTTTGGGGGGGTGGGTTTTTTTTGTTGGTTTTTTTTTTTTTTGGGGGGGTGTTTTTTCTTGGTTTTTTTTTTTGGGGTTTGGGGTTTGTTTTTTTTTTGGGGTTTTTTTATTTTTTTAAATTGGGGTGGGTTTTTTTGGGGTTTGGTGGATGATTTTTGGGGGATGGGTTTTTGGGTTTTTTTTGGTTTAGGGGGGGGTTTTTGGGCCCATTTTTGGGGATTTTTTGGGGGAAAAATTTTTTTTTTTTTGGGGGGGGAATTTTTTTTGGGGGTTTTTAAATTTTTTTAGGGGTTTTTTTTTTTTTTCCCCGGGGAAATTCTTTTGTATTTTTTTTTGGGTGTTTTTAGGGGTTGTTTTTTGTTTTGTTTTTTGGGGGAGTTTTGGTTTTTTTGGGTTGTTTTTTTTTTTGGGGGGCGTTTTTGGTTTCCCCTCCCCTTTTAAATTTTTTTTTTTTGTGTGGGGGGGGGTGGGTTTTTTTGGGGGGGGAAGGGGTTTGGGAAAAAAAAATTTTTTGGGGTTTTTGGGTTTTGGGGTTAATAAAAATTTTTGTTTTTTTTTAATTTTTTTTTTGGGGGTTTTTGTTTTTTTTTGGGGGTTTTTTTTTTTGTTTTAAATTTAGTTTTTTTATTTTTTAAAATGTTTTTGTTTTTTTGAAAGGTTTGAAATTTGGGGGTTTGGGTTTTTTGGTTTTTTTTTGTTTTTTTATTTTTTGGTTTTTATTTTTTTTTTAAAAAAGGGTTTTTGTTTTTTTTTCCTTTTTTGGGTTGTTTTAAAATTAAAAATTTTTATGGTTTTTTGGTTTTATTTTTTTTTGGGACCCTTTTTGTTTTGGGGGGGGTTAGGTTTTTTTAATGGTTTTGGGGTTTGGGGGAATTTAAGTGGGGTTTTTTTCTAGGGGGATTTTTTAACTAAGTTTTTTTGGGGTTTTTTTGGGGCGAAAAATTTTTTTTTTTAAAAAATTGGTTGTAAAAAAATTTTTTTTTTTCCCCGGGTTGGGGTGTTTTCTTTTTGATATTTTGGTTTTTGTTTGGAATTTTTTTGGTTTTTTTTTTTTTAGGGGTTGTTTTTTTCCAAATTGGGTTAATAAAAATTTTAAAACCAACTGAAAAACCAAATTAATGTTGTTTTCTTTCTAACCTGGTCCCCAGTAGGAAGGTCCAGTGTCTCCCAATGAAGGCACAGATGTCCTCCTTCCATCTGAAGTAGCCTTGGCGCCCCGTGCCCTCTAACGAAAGGTTGTACATGGCCAACATAACTACCTGAAATAAAACAGACAACACACCGAACTGCAATGAAAACCAGGAAAATAAAATATGACATTCTTTCAGTACTCATTTCAGAGGGCTGTTGCCGAAAACAAATATAATCAAAGCAATAAAGTCCACAGCAATATACAATATATAGTACTTTGCAATTTTATACTTGTCCATACTGTAGATAAGGATCTTGACCCATATATTTAGCCAATAGATGCAATGGAACAATTAAATTATATTTACTTTTCACGTAAAGCCCCATTTTGTTTAAGGTGTCCCTTTTAACCTTGTTCATATCTTATGTAAACTGCAATGCAAATCAGTTCTTTATTGTAAACTGCCAAAGTGCTTCATTGTGGCACATGTACCTGTTGCCAGGTGAGTCTCATCCTCTCAAAGGTCTCCTTGCCATCTTCTGTACAGTCATAGCAGGTGAACTTGAAGAAGTTATCTCCTTTCAGGTAGCTGGGTTGCTCTCCGTGCAGCTGTGCTGAATGGTGGGGAGGAGAATAAAAAGACTGCTAAGAGACAAGGCATTCTGTTCATTTAATTCTCATTTTTTATTTGAAAAGCATGTACGGTGCAACAGGACACGACGTGACATCCAAATATTGACTTGTGCGAATTTATAGAGAAAAGCAGCAGCACTTTTTAATATCTATGGATGGACAGATAAGGCCAACCCCACTGAAATCACTGAGGAAATAACTGCGCAAAACATACTTTGTCCAAATCGTACTGACAAATTTGCAAGTGTTAAGTGATATTGAGAAAGAACGATGCCCCGTCGCAGGGAGAGGTTGCTCTCCCTCCCTGCTGTCGGTGCGCCCCCAGGGGCTGCCTGGCCGGCCTCTCACCGGTGGGGATCCACTTGTGGCACTTGTCACAGTAGAAGGCCATGTCCTCGTTCCAGCCACCCTCGGCGTCCTCCCCCAGGTCGCTGTTGAGCGAGTCACCGCTCTGGTCGTGCGAGAGGTCCACCGAGGCCTGGTCTTCCGACTCCACGATGAGCAGCGTCTCGCCCTCCACCTCACCCTCCTCCAGCCCCTCCGAGGCGGAGGTGCACATGGCCTCATCTTCCACTTGGCCCCTCTGCTCACCACCACTTTCCATCATCACCAGGTGGAGTCAGGCAGTCTACTGCTGTGCAGAGAGAGGTTTAGTTTTAGTTTTACCAGTCAAAATTGTGTAAGGAGATTTTAAAATGAAAGCAGTATGATTCAGGGATTCCTTATTCTGTGAGAGAAATCATGACATTACCTACTACCTAACTACAAACTATGTATAGCCTACCTTTAGGGAACTAACTGCATGCCACACATAGGCCTACATGTTTTTCAAAACCAGTGACAATCAATAGCTATCCAGAAGGGTGGCAATGGCTTCTGCAGTGTCAGCTAGTTTACTTTTCCTCCAAACCCGTAATTGATAAATAATTGGCCAGAGAATCTACAAAGACGTCAATTGTAAAAGGCAAGGGTGTAAATTTGCATAAAGACAGCCCAGCCCAGTTCGAAAGCAAACTACGGTGTACTACATTGCTTTATCAATATTTCAACACGAACATTAGCCATAGCTGCACTACATAAGAATTGTGAAGGCTGTCAAAGTAGTTGTTGTTATGCCTGGGGTTGGTCGGAGTCCTGTCGCCCCAATTCTCTCCTGTCGCGCTCTGCCTTGAGCTCCTTGGTCAGACTTCTTTGTTGTTCGAGCACTCGCAGGTTCTCGCTCTTCCTCTCCAAACGTTCAATGTCTCTAAGTACTCCCTCATGAAGTTTCTGATGGACAAACAAAACGGCCACTGTAAGAGCTGCTCTGTCTAAAATTATGGCTAGAGGTGTTGTTGCTAGCTAGCTACCGTTAGCTGTCTGCTAGCAGAAAAGCATGCAGATGCTAACTCTAGTTAGCTAAAGTTAGCTAAGCTAAAGGTAATGTTTCTGCTTACAACTTTCTCAATGTAGCTAAGTTGCAACGGACTTTTGCATGGGAAACATTGCACCATACTATGACATATGGCTAGTTAGCTAGCTAATGTTATCTAGGAATTGGAGTGTACAGTAATTGAGCTGGTCCGCAGGCTAGCTATCTAATTGTTTACCTCTTGGTCCCAGTTTTGCTTGAGATGCACTCCTGCAACGGTGCTGACTGTAAGTATCACAGAAACGCCTAGAACAACTTTAGAGATTGTAGACATAGCTAGCTATCTAGTATTGCATGTAGTTTGGAGACACAGGGAATTGCTAAACTAGGGTTGGATAACGTCAGGACAGGACATCTCAGAAATGTGTCGAGGTCGATGAGTTTAGGCTGTAGAGTAGAGTACCGACTCTGGAGACAGTCGAACAAATCGATTTAATCGACTTTCTGAACAATTATCCAATAAATAATAATAATAATAATAATAATAATGCAAATATTCTGGACATAAAACACGAATTAAATCATGTGAAATAACATACAAAATGTGTTTAAAGTCTTCAATATAAGTGGCTAGATGTGATCCACACTGGACACTGATGCATATCCAAAATATTTTATTAAAGGAAAATGCTCTCAACCATTGCTTTCAATCATGGGGCGGCAGGTAGCTTAGTGGTTAAGAGCGTTGTGCCAGTAACCGAAAGGTCGCTGGTTCTAATCCCCGAGCCGACTAGGTGAAATATCTGTCGATGTGCCCTTTAGCAAGGCACTTAACCCTAATCGCTCTGGATAAGAGCGTCTACTAAATGACTCAAATTTAATCTTTGTAGTTGTAAATATTTGATGCAAGGCGAATAGTTCATATTTGATAATTGTGCTGTTTGACACTTTCAGGGTACAGAAGGTGATAACACAGATGAAAGGTATCTGCCTTGCTATCATCACTTAAAAATAAACTTTGAGACACATATCCTGAGATATAGTTGAAATCCGCTAAAATTATATTGCTAGTTTTGGTTAATTGATTTTTGCTATGATAGTCGTGTCATGCAACTGCCACCCCCCAGTGTTGCCAACTTAGTGTCTTTGTCGCTATATTTAGCGAGTATTCAGACCCCTCTAGCGACACATTTTCAAAAAAGCGACTAGTGACAAATCTAGCGTCCATCACAATTACATGCACATGGCAAATTAGGTCATGACGTCATTTAGCGACTTTTAGGACAGCCAATAGCTACTTTCCTTACAGAGGAGTTGGCAACACTGTACCCCACTCATTTGTCAATGACAAACGGTGGCATCCCGGGGCCTGTTGCACAAAACTAGGATAAGGGATTAAGCCAGGATATCTTGGTGATCCTGGCTCAATTGATCCGTAATCCGGTTGCACTAAAGATGGATAGGGGGCAGGAGGATATGTTATGGTATAAATTACCATGGAGATTTATTCTGTGGAGCTAGCCTGCTCCAGACCAGGCTAAATTCCAGGATCTATTTAATCTCATCCCTAATGTCAGTCAGCAGTCACCACAAATGGAAACCAATAGTTATTTCACTGCTCACTATACATTGTTATCACATATAACTAGACCCACTGTCATTATTTAAACGTTTGTGATCATTAATTTCAATGATTTTGGATAAAAAATGATTTTTAGATGATGTTGCTATCATTAGATAATTTACAGTTTCCCATAGACTATAAGGCTATATATAAAATGATAGAATATTAGGGCCACAGAGGGGAAAAAAAACACAAGTCATAATATTGTAACCATTTGTTTTAAAGGAGGACAGTTGTTAAAATGACAGATGTGGGGCATTTCGTGAAATTGTACTTCAGTATGGTTTCATAAACAAAGACATGCTGATGTGCCAGAATATTAAGTATCACATTGTCATAAGTATCAAAACTGTAAAAACAATATGTAGCTTTTCTGCAGAAAGAACCAGCCTCATAAATTTATGACTTTATCCTTTTTCTTCAGTGTGGCCCTAGTACTCTGTCATATAAACAAATACACATTCCATATGAATATAAAAACACAATGTGTAACATTATGTTCCTTTATTGAATAAGGACAAAACAAAGCAGGTAAACCATCAGCTCCTTTCGAAACTGAAGTCACAGTGACTCTACAAGATGGAAAGCACAGAATCCAAGCATATTATACAAAATGATACATACACATTCAAAGGTCTGTATATAACACACCCTGCATGTCTGCACACTAAAATAAATGCAGGACAAATCCATACACATCAACTGAACAGACAAATGAATGGATGCAGTAGCCTCCCTGCAGCCTTGTATTACACACAGTATACCGCACAAACATCATAAGAGGCCAAATTCGTAAAAAAACGAACCCAAAAAAACCCAAATTCCTCTGCCACCGCAGGACATATTTAACCAAAATTGAAAGCACACATACTAACTAAAATAATTCAACACATATTGGTCCCTCAGCAGCCGACCACTGTCGTCATCAGGGAAGATTGCCGGATTGTCCCAGTCCATGGCTGGTGGCACTCTGGGGGCCCTCTCCTTCCTCAGGCAGGCCACATTGTGGAGGACAGCACAAGCCACAGTAATATCACATGCCCTAACAGGGCTGACCCTTAATTTGTGAAGGCAGTGAAAGCGTGCCTTCAGGAGGCCAAAGGTCATTTCAACTCTGGCCCTGGTCCTGGCATGGGCATGGTTGTAGGCCTGCTGTGCTTCCTGGGGGTCTGTGAAAGGTGTCAGGAGAAAAGGCTGGCAGCCATACCCCCTGTCTCCCAGCAACACACCAGAGAATTCACCTGTCAACACAAAATCTCATCATTACTACCTCATAAACACAGTGATATTCTTGACACAGCCATGATGGTTATAAATAGGGGTTGTGTGGCTTACCTTGTGATAGGCACTGATAGATTTCAGAGGCCCGAAAGATTCTGGAGTCATGGACTGAGCCAGGCCATTTTGCCACAACATTGCTGATCACACAGTCAGCATTGCAGACCATCTGAAATCATAAGATGAGGAATATTACACCAATCAATGCACATCACTGGCAATGCAGAGTGTTCGTCAATGGACAATATCAAAAAGTTATGTTCACCTGAACATTAATGCTGTGAAAGGATTTCCTATTCACAAAATCGGCCTCATGGGCACCTGAGGGGGCTTTTATCCTTATGTGTGTGCAGTCCACTGCACCAATGACATTGGGGAAACCTGTCACACAAAGTAATGAGTATCCTACTATGTGTTAACAGTTGTCCTGTAATTTGTAGATCCTCTTACCTGCAATCCTATAGAACTCCTCTTTGATGTCACAGAGTCTTCTGTGGCCAGGGAAGGAGATGAAGACATCTGCTAATGCTTTGATAGCCAGACACACACTCCTTATTGTGCGGCAAATTGTGGCCTTGTTCAGCATCCCCCACTGAGTACAGGAAGGCTCCACTAGCAAAAAAGCGCAAGGCCACACAAACCATTTGCTCCACACTCAGTGCATGGCTCCGTGCAGTGCGGTGCTTAATCCTGGGACCCAGTAGTCTGCATAGATACCTGATGCCATCTGCAGAAAACCTGTATCTTTCATATAGATGGTCATCAGGGAAGGCCAGTGGGTCCAACCGGTCCCTGAAGACCCTTTCTCGCCTGAAGGCTCTCCTCAGCACAAGTGCTTCTTCATCCACCACATCTCGCACGAATGGGCATGCCATTGTCAGAGCAGAAAGGAACACACAATTTTGGGCCTTCATATAGGCTAGTGGCCACACCTGGTGCTGGGGGGGTGGGCAAAAGAGGGCGATGCCTTATAACGATGACTTGGTTGTACTGATTGCTGGGAAAATAAAAAAAACCTTAGAAAGATGCCACCGTCCTGTGTGCTCACAATAAGAGCTCATATGTCATGGCTCACTTGACTTTACGAGAATATACCTAATTTTTATTTTGAGCTGTGTCATCTTCTTGGAGCTGGGGGAGGAAAGAAAAATAATGATTAATACATTTGTGTTACAGTTAGCATACAGTGTACATTGAAGGCATATCTCACCTCCCTCTCAAGTTTTTTTATTTCAAGGTCCAGTTTCCTAATTGTCCTCTTTTTTAGTTCGGACTCCAGTGCAAGATTTTCCATCTTTTTCTTCTTGTACTGAATGTCTATGTCTGCCAGTTCTATTTGGCGCCGGAGGTGGTTGCCATACAACTTTCTGATAGCTTGTGAGCTCTGTGAACACAATACAATTAGCGCAGCTGGAATTTGGCAGGATGTGGTGTCCTTTTATTAATACGCACTATGTTGCCAGGCTGGTTTTCCCACTGTATAGCATCTGGGTCCTGTAAAAGAAATTAGATTTTTTGATTTTGATGAGGACTCCTCACCATTGTAGAGTAAATAGTACTTTCACAGTCTTAACATGATACCTCATGCCTTCTGGAATCCAGAGAGATGGTCTCCTCCTCATCATCGTCTCCATCATGTGCTGTTGCTGCTGCACTGGGGCCTTCACCCTATCACATTTAATCGGATTCATATTGAAGCTAGTAGACAAGACATGCCAGGCCTACAGTATGCCTTTGATGGAGTACTCACTGGATCAGCATCGTCTGGTGCTTGTGCTGGTGGCTCTAACAGGAACACAGTGCTGCCAGACACTGCAAGGCAATAGGTAAACCAAAGTCAGACAGTCCAAATTGATTCAATATGAATGTGGTTGTATCCCATGTAGAGATGGAAGGACATACCTTGAATGAAGCGGGTGGCATCTTGGGAGGAACCTATGCTCGTCTCTTTCCCCCCAGGGATCCCCTCTAAGACGGGCCTGCCTTTATTTAGCTCCAAGGCCATGTCCTCTGCTGGGGTAAGGTCAGCCTTTGGTGACCCACCACCCGTGCCTTGTCTGTGGGTATTCTTTTTCACTGCTAAAACAGTACAGACAATGTGTGAGCAGGCACCTTCTGGGTACAATATATGCTTGTGCTTTGTTAAATATTAGTCAGGGACCATACCATTCTGCAGAATGTTCTTGTATTTGATTTTGACCTGCTGCCATGTCCGTTTTGGCCCGTTCATGTTTAATCTACACACACACACACACACACACACACACACACACATTTAATGGAGTCACACTGCAAAAAATTACTTGGTATTTTTGTCTTGTTTTCAGTAAAAATATCAAAAAAATTTATCATAGCTTTATACAGTGTGATGGAGTTACTTTACACAATTACACTCATATCTGCAGTGCATTTCAATTAAAAATTTAACCGTT